CATGGGACAAATGATTGAACTTTGTTTGGATTGTGAATTATCAGAAATATTTTTATTGTAGTATTTTTTGTGATGTGATGTATGTGAGATAAAAAGATAATTGAAAAAATAAAAAGGTGTGTTGGAAATTGTAATGATGATGTAAGCAAATATTTTTTGGCAAATAAACCGCAATCCAAACAAATATATATTACACAAGTATTTGTGACCTATATTACAAAGAAATCAAATCTTAAATGAAATAACGATATAATATTGTGGCATGTTTATAGATCAATATTTTGAATATTGTGGGACTGTTGTCCCTTTTGCTTCTACCCTCGTCCAGTTATTGTAAAGTTTTTACGATGATATATAAAACTATCGTTTCGACCAAAAAAAAATTGTTTATAGATACAGAGTTTTGATAGCAGTCACGGGCATGCGGTATATGATAACACAGCTATCTTTGTCAATCACTTTGATAAGATTGAAATCTTTGGCATTCTTATAATCAAATGCATATTGGTGTGGAAAATTGTCAGCCAAAACCAAGAGTATACGATCAAGGTTTTCACTGTCTGCTGTTCACCTTCTTTAGCAGTTCAATTCTGATGGTTCAACTTTACTAGGGTTTCTCACTCTTGTTTTATTCACCCTTCCTACATACGTAGGCCTACAATTGTTGCTGTACATCTGGACAATCATCTGTTTTTTGATGCCATACGGAAAGCAAAGTTGGAGTTTTTTTCTCATGGAAAAACTGAAAAAGTAGGGAAATTATGAAAGGGATTTTCTAATTTAAGTTAAAAAATTAGTGGAATTAAAAATAAGTGCATGCATTTGGTTGGTTTAATTTCATGTAATTTAGTTAATTTTTGTGCAACTAAAATTTGTAAATCGAATTCCTTTTTATTTCTCATACTAAAACATCTCTCTTGACTGCACTTGCATAACTTGTAGTACAACTTATATCTTCAGTAAAAAAAAAAAAAAAAAGAAGTAAACTTTCAAATAACTTAAAAGCATTAATAAGAGGGGTTAGTTTGAAAAGTTACCATTACAATTAGCACAGATTCTGAAGAAAAAAAAAATAAAAAACTTTTCATTCAATTCTCAGTTTATCCACAATTGGTCGACCCGCGGAATTCCTCGTCTCCTTGTGCAATCTCAGGATAACGATTTGTCTATCCTTTTGGCTTTTGCACGTTTTTCAAAAAATAACGGACCCATACCTTTCCTTTCCTATCTCGGCACGTTCTATGTTTTCCTTGTCGTTCGAAAAGGGACAGCCCCGTCACGTGGCTCCATGGACAGCTTCCTTATTTCACACGCTCTTATGCGCGCCCGGGCCACATTTGTGCGATCAAATTATTACCTTTTATGAGTTTATCCAGATTGTTATTTTCACTTCAGGCCAAATGGTGCAAAATGCGATCAAATTATTACCTTTTTATCGCTTTTTGTCACCTAACTAACTTTTTTTTTTTTCTAAAACTTAAAATGTCACTTAACTTTTTTTTTTTTATCCTCAGTAAAAAGTGTCACCCAACTATTAAAAATAACGCGGCTTCTTGGTCATCCATCCTATTAAATTTAGGCCATAAATGCTACCGGAAAATCACATGCATGATATGCACAAAGAGCTCCAAGGACAAAATAGTCAGAGTACTAAAAAAGGATAGGAAATGAGAAAAATCACAACACCCAAGTTAAGCCATTCGATGCGGTAACTGCACTAGGAAGCTACTACATTTAGATAAGGTTCCATCCCAAGCTTTGTTTCATGTTATGCGAGCCATGTACATTTAGAAGTGTACAATCAAATTACCACTTGGACCCGTATGAGCATTCCTAGCTCGATCGGCCCTTCCCATCTTATCTTCGTCGGTCAGAAAGGGATGGCCTTGTCACTTTAGCTCCAAGGATAGCTTCTTTCTTTCGCATGCTTTTGTTGTGGCGAAAGTACCTTTAGGGCTCTTTGTGAGATTGGCTCTTATGCGGGCCACAAGAAATTGATTTCAGGCATTTTAACATTTGTACGATCTGTTTATTGTGATTGTTGAGTTGAATTCATTCGCAACGGATCTTCTATCATACAACTTGTATCACTCTCTGTCCTACTTTTATTATATTGTTATTTCTCCTTCACAAATATCATGTTTTAATTCTTTTTTTATTTTCTTAAGATTCAATAACTATTAATTGAGTAAAAAATAAATACAACAGTTTCAAAAAGCAATATATAATAGAAAATTAAAAAATACAACAGAAAATTCATAAAAAATCTCATTTTTTATGCATTTTGATTTTTTGAGTTTGTTAAATTTTGTGTATTACTCAATTAATAGTTATTGGATCTTAAAGAAACAAAAAAGAATTAAAATATGATATTTATGAAGGAGAAATAACAATATAATAAAAAGTGGCTCAGAATGTGGGACAGAAGATCCGTTGCGGAATTCATGGCTGGCATTTTAAGGCTATTTCATTGCATAGAGCATCTTAGGAAACAATTTTGTTCAGCACATTGTTGTTTAGCAATAAAGTTGCATCATCTAAATATATTATAGTTACCAATACAGAAACTGTATCTGACGCGGATATCACTATTTTTCCTTCTTTCTGCTTCTGTGGAATGGCCCTATAATGTTCACAAATTACAGAGCCAGGAGCTCACGGTATCAGATGAAGATAGCTGATGTGCTCATAGCTCCTGCATTTGTACAACAAAAAGCCCTAGTTAACTCTTAAAATGTATCACATTTATCTGTATTTGCCATCAGCACGACTCTAATGAGTGGATGTAAAAGAGAAACAAACTATGAGTTTGTTGAATGCAAACTACAAGTTCCATGAATGATCTTGCATAAACAGAAAATATGATTTGTTTTTAAGGTTATCTTTCATTATGTAGTAGGAGGATGTGGACAGACAATAGTCAAAACAGCTGACACCAATGACTAGTTTGGCAGAAGGGAAAAAAAAAGAGAAAGTTTAAGTTAGAAAAGAAAAGAATAGAATAGCAAATATTGCAATATTTTTTCATGTTGTTTGGGAATTTTTGGAAATAAAGAGAATGAAATGATTCTTCTTTATTTGAGAGTGGAGAGAAGTAAAAGGAAAATATTTTACATAAATGCCCTTAAAACTTGAAATTCACATGACATCACAAAACGTTATATTAAAATACGAGTAAATCTTATATGCATTAATAATATATACATTATCACCATTAGATCTATGACATATGTATAAATGTTGAATTTCAAATTTAAATTTTGTACAGTTATTATTTATTCAGCTACTAACAGTTTTGGATTGACCATTTTGGACTAACAGTATTTTGTAGTTTGAAAGAAACGTGAGATCCCTCCTTTTATTTCTATTCTTTTCCTACAAATACTCCTAAATGCCAGAAATATTCTACTTTCTTTCTTAGTTCTTTCTTTTCTCACCAAATCTGTCACAACATCCAAGTTAAATAATTTCATGTACGTGGTAACTGCACTAGGAAGCTATCACATTTGGATAAGGTTCCGTGTCAAACTTGTTTCATGTTATGCGAGCTATGTACACTTAGATTAGTAGGAATATCAACTCCCTTGCGCCACAAGTTTCACTTCATTGCTTCAACTTAATATTTTCTTATTCAAGACCTACAACTATCAATGTGTAAGATAATAGAACGTGATTTAATTGGTAAAACACACATTTTATTCGTAATTGTGAGATCATGAATTTGAGTCATCAAGGAGTTAAATAACTTTAATTCTTTTTTTTTTCAAAAAAGAGTACTTACTAATTAACTAATATCAATGTGTGCCTTTATACAATGATTTTTTTGTGAAACATAACGTCTTCAATCTCCACGCTGAAGTTGGGCTTGTGTTCTACAGCTAACAAAATTGATGGTAATAACCAGCTCGATTGGTGTTGCGCTTGTGTTCCAGTTCTATAGCTAACAAAATTGATAATAATAACCAGCACTCAATATCTACTGGACGTGACATGTATTTAAATTTGATTAATTTTTTCCTAAGCTTTTCTTTTGCAGCTCGAAGGAAAAAAAATGGTGTTTTTATTCTTACCACTAGTATTTGTTGCTTGTGATGAAAAGCCAGCCGTTTGCCTCCTCGAAAGCTCTGAAATTTTAGGCATTCTTGTTTAGGTTATTTCTTTTTTAGAACTAGGAAACCATGTAGTTAAATGATGCGTCAAAAGCAAAATTTTTTTTTTCTAATGCTTAAACTTTTAACAACACAATCTATCCATGTTTAAGGAAGCATGTCTGAGCTTAGAGTATGGCTGGTTGCAAAGAACATGAAATGGCATCCACATTATGACTTGTAACTTGTGGATTCAAAACACCCCTATGTGGATTTGTCAGGCAAATATCTATATATATTTCCCATGCATTAAATCTGCTTCGCAACTATTACAACTGCTATTTTTTCTTCCTCATAATAATGATCGAAATTTGTTGCTGACTTTTTATCACCTAATAATTTATTTCATTGCAGGCAGGCGTTTTCACATCGGGACCATAGGGTCTAATAGTGTCATTTATGTCAGATGTGGAGCTGGACTGGTAATTGTAATTGAGTTTCTAGTTTTGCCACCATTCGTTAGCTTTTGTACAGGTAAAAAAGGTTGCAATATTTGTGAGCACTACAACAAAAATGACCTTTAACAACGTTTAAAGGTGTCAGTATAGATAATCTAAACTGACACTTTACCTTTTCTCACACTTCAGACGAGTGTTGTCCCTTCCAATGTGGGGATAGGCTCGTACTATTCAATGTGTCAGGAAAGCTATGCTATTATAGCATCCCATCTGCCAACAAAAATCTCTTTTCTTAACAATCAAAAGTGTCAGAATATTGTCGAAGTTGTTGAGCTATGCTAACACTTTTAACTGCCAGCAGTTTTTTTTTCTTTTTTTTTTAAAATAAAGAAGCAACCTGGTTGTGCTCCCTGCTATACATTCTGTCAATCAGATACCCAAAGGACTTGTAAAATTATCCCAAAAAATAGAATGCATGTAGTAATTTAAAAGCAAAAATCAATGTTCAAATATCATTTGTTGAACTAAAATCAGCAACAAGTACTAACATAGCTAATCAAAAGCCAAAACCAACACCAGCTAATATAACTAATTGTCTACACTGTCAGTATATAATAGCCAAAACCAACATTTAAAGTCCCAGATAGAAGTTCCTTTATCTCTGGAACCTTGGTGCTCAATGCGTTGTTAAGCAAAGTCTTGAACAGGAGCAGAAAGTTTTAGTTCATGTACGGCTTGGAAGTAATCTGCGGCTACTTGTTTCAAGCCTTGAGACTTGGATAGACTCCAAGAAGGAACCACGCATGGTGGTTTGTCGGCTCTAGTCAGAGAGCAGTCATCAACAAGCTTCTTGCAATAGGAAGATTCTGTCTACCCAATTTTATCAGCACTCCAGCAGTTGAGACAATGCTTGGTACATAATCTGGCTCTATGGAGAGTGAAACTGAGAATGCAACAAGAGCTTCCTTGTATTGTTCTTGAGCTTCAAATGATTTACCTGCAGATATAAACGCATCTTGTGATAATCAAAGGATATGAATAAACGCATCTTACTTTTTTTTTTAATTTTCGCAACTTCTTTTAAAATTATACATCATCTTACAATCTTACATGTTCTGAATCGCTTATTAAATGTTGTTATTTCTGGAATTGGTTAAGCGAAATCCCAGCTAACCACTTTGTCAGTCACTTCAATAAAGCAGGGGATTTAATTGAACAGAAGGAAAGAAGAAAAGTGCGGTAACACTTCCAATAATGACACCATATCAATTTCCAAAAGACAAAAGTAAAAAGACTATAATTCAGAGTACAAAATAATTGCATTGGAACGCCCTCAGTTAACCTTTTCTGAAATGGCATTAACCAAACATGCATCGAGATAGTATGAACTTAGACAAAAGCAAATAATCATCTGCAACAGCAAAACAATGCATCTAAGCTTCTTCATTTTCCCTTCATACAAATTAGAAAACAAAAGCCTAGTGCTTGTCTTGTTTGTACGTAGCATTTGAATTGCAAAAAATACTGCTGTCCATTCTACATTTGCCAGCCCCTAGTATTATGCCAGGCTGCAATCATGTTGTGGATTATTTTCAATTTTAGCCAGAGGAAAAACAAACAAAATACATGTCCTTTTGCCCTACTAGTTGTGGGATATTATGCCAGTTATTTCTACTACTCTGACAGGCACTGCAATGGGTGCATTGGATTTTTCCACCTATAATAAGAAGCTCTAAAAAGTAGACAGTGAGGGCTTTTGTCAGGACATTTTCTTTAGCTATGGAGTACCATTATTTTGTAGTTTTTCTTCGAGGAAAAGTCAAGAATTGAACTCATGATCTCCAGAACATGGAGCATGCATTGATTCCTTGGGCTATCAACCTCTTTTCCACGAGGACAGACTTTGCCGCCACTAATAACAGCAACAGGGGCTAAAATTAGTCATTGGCACTTTCTGAGAAGGGGCACAAAAGTTATCCACCACCATGTTTTAGTACCTGCAGTTTCAAGTAAAGAAATAATTAATTACTAAACAAAATGCATATTCAAACTGGATGTGACATGTTTTAGTACCTGCAAAGGAGGAATATAAATTCCAGGTGCAAATGAGAATGAAACAGAGACAAACCCAAGGAAAACGTACCATTCTTGGCAATTGAAGGAAAGAACGACGGGGAGAAGCCCAATGGCCACCACCCCAGTGAGCTGGGAACCTGACGATGAGTGGGAACTCATCAACGATGACGGTTTCATCTCCAAACGCAGGAAACGTCCCTGTGTCGACCTTCCTTCCTCCACTTCGGCACCGGGACTACCGGATCCGGCCGTTGAAGAGTAGAACCGCCGGCAAAGGAAGAAAAGAGCTCTTCTCAAGCTCAAACACAAGTACCGACAAGAGATCGAACAGTGGGTACATTTGTCAAACACCTTGAAGGACATGCAGAAAAGATCCCCAATTGTTATTAGTCAGCAGCAAAAATATCGACAACCCAATGACGCTGCTACATCGTCTGACCGAGCCACAGTGACTTCCCCAGTCCCTCCGGAACAATCGTCGGACTCCGCTTGCCGGCATCTTGTTGATGAACTTCTCTTGCAGGTGGAAGCCCAAAAATCTATAATTGGAGATGTAGCAAGGCTGTGCGATGTGGCCGAAGCCTTGTGTAGCGCAAGAGAGGAGAATTTTACGAAATCCTTCACCGAGCTGCCGATATCGGCGTCGAAGCCGCATGAGCTGATGACGTCACTCTACGAAGATTGATTTAGTTCAGGAGTAAATGTCTTTTTAAAGTTCCTTCTTCTACACCATTACAGACTTCTCTGAGATCCAGGAAGGCCGAAAGGAGGGAGATGACCAAGAAAGCCTTGGGTTGGGCACTTGTCCATAGCTGCTCTTTTGGATGGAAGAAATACGACCAAAAATGCCATGCCATGGGCCTTCTCGCTCCAGAAATTATGTGAAATTTTAAAGAGATTTGAGATGTAATTCATGTATAATATGACTGGTTTGATTGCTATCCTTTCTGGTTAAAAAAAAAGAAAAGAACGAGAAGAAAGAGAAGAATATGGAATAATCTAAATGAGAAAGAAAAAGGAAGGATGCAATGAGGGATTGGAGATTGGAGAGCCAGAAGAAGAAAGGAGAGAGCGGCGGAGGAGAAAACAAGAGGTGAACTTGTGTTTGCCCTACTTAGGGAAGAGAAGAAAAAGGAACACGTGCACCTCATATGAGTATGACGAAAAAACTTGTGAACAGTAACATTTTTTCAAGTGTCATAATAAGTAGTGTAAAGACACATTATTATTCTTATATCAGATAAAATAAAAAAAATTAAAGTATATATTATTGAGTTGATAATAAGTGTCATAATAGAGGTACTATAATGACAAAAATCAACAAATGTCCTTATAGACATGTCAGGAAAAGCCATTTTTGTTGTAGTGGAGTGAGAATTGGTGATTAATGAAGGCGTTTTGCTTGGATTGGATTAATCAGCAACGACCCAATAACTGTTGGACGTCTTCCGAATTAGAGGAGTTATACACTTTGGCACTTCGGGCAATGCCGACAGTACCCTGTCCGTGGGAGATGTTGTAATCCCAACGCAGTTTTCTCAAACTGGAACATGGGACTGGCTGGTAATATTAATTCCTTTGTTTCTTTTTTTTTCCCCTTAAAGGTAAAACCTAAAGTTTCATAAAGCATAAGCATCTAAGCGTTTGCATTGAGAATGATTCTCAAAATCAAGCGCACACAATCAGTGCCAACTGCCAACAATTCAGTCATTATCACTAAGAATTCGAATGACTACACTCGACAAATTAAAGAACAATGGAATCAAAATGCTAGAGAGGGAAGGGTTGGATTGTATTGTAAGATGGGAGGAATGATAAGTATAAGCACCTAGATTCATGACCTCTCACTTACGGAAAAAAAGTGAGAAAAAAAGTGAAAAATGTGCTAATTACTGAAATTTGCAAGCAAGGCTTATGAATCAGTTGTCTTTTGGATCTGGATGATGGTTTTCTCCTCCCTCCATATGCAGTAGACTGTAGACAGCGGCTCCAATTAATGAAAGCCTAAATACCTGATGGTGCGACTGAATTCCTCATTTTCTTTATTTATTTATTTTATTGTGCAGTGGAAAAAATTTTAGTCCTTTCCTTGCTTCAAAAGTATTGAACGTGTTTCTTTTTTTTTTTTTCAATATTCAAGGAATTACATTTTTGCATGTATCTTCATCTGGGCATGCATGCATACTGCAGAAACCCAAGGTAGCAACACATCCAGATACTGATGCTGCTGAGCTAGAGTTCGCAAGCTATCACATTCCCGCTGGCGGATATAATCTGTTGGGTCTCGTGGCTTATTGGAGTGAGTACTTCTTTTCCGAGACAGGAAAGCCTGATACTCCTGAAAGAAAACTTTGGTTCGAGGCATCCAAGAATTTGCTGCAAGTCGCTTCCATGCTAGAGGTAATAAGGCACAGATTCACATCTAGAATTAACATTCTCTTTACCCTCATTTTAAGTTGCCAAATTCTATTTCAAGCGAAAATGAGACAACCCCTTTCGCACATTTCAATGTAGTAAATTCTTTTTGATTCTGACGGTGGTAGTTTTGTTCAAACAGGGAATTGAGCTAAACCAGTGCCTAAACAATTAGATTTGCTATTAACATGAGTTGGTCCAAGGAATAATTTTAAGTTATTAATAAAGATTAATCTTCTATACACTGACAGTATACGCACTTTTACAATTAGATGCATGACACGTAATCCGAATTTGAATTTGAAACTCAAATTTTACATATATGTCATATATTTAACAGTGATAACATATATACCATTATAGTATATAAGATTTACTCTATTAGAATAATAATGGTACACAAAAGCAAGGCAAAATTCAACTATTGACGTACCATTTTTCCAAAAAATGATGGCAGATTTGTACGTGCTTCGTACTTCCTAGAGCTTGAAAAGGGTTTTTAAATGTTTCAATTACAATGTCTAAATTTTGGCCGATGCCATATTGGACCTGAATTACATTAAAGTCTTGAATTGTGAAACTACTGAGAAACGTGCCTAAGAACGCTTCTCAACTTTGACAAATGAAGATTATTTGCCGACTGTGAATGACAGCACTAACACTCTTAAAAAAAATGCGACTCATTCTCTAAAATCCGATCAAAAGTAACAAGAAAATTTTATTCCTAGCTAATAAGCGCTTCGATGGTCTACAATAATTCTCATAGGTAGCGAAATCTTATATATATATATATATTCAAGGATGCTTCAATTCAAAAAGAAGAATTCTTAAAAACCACAGCATCTGGCCATGTGCTGTTGTGTACACAATTGTTTTAGGTTTATTTAGTTTTTGATAGGAATTTGACAATTATAGGAAGTGGTATTGTTTCAAATTGGTTCATGGATATTTGTTTTTGGTCTATTAAGTCTGTTTCTGTCTTCCAAATGGCGCTTCCTCAATGTTAACAAGAACAAATTTAATTTCAAGTTTATAATGAGAATTTCCAATTTCCTTTTTCTTTAGATGACACACTAGAAAAGGAATTCTTTAATCCAAGCTTTCCACGGTAAAGTTGTTGGAGCAACATCGGAAAATCAGCACGAACAAGAACATTGGGCCATCCAGCCATCATTTCTTCTATTGTATTATTCAATATATTATGGATATAGACTAGCATATTTCTTTTAGGGTTAATCTTGTGCAGACTCACAATATATGTTATAGCGCCTATGAATGCATGCTACCTCATTTCAATTTTAATTTTTATATATGTGATATGCTACCTGCTAGTATATACATTATCAGTATATACAAAATTAATCGTTTCTTTTACGAATAATTCTTAGTCAAAATGCTAGAAAAATCTCCTCCAAAATGAATTACTTCTAAATTTTATTTTATTTTTGTTTAAGGAGTTACTTTAAGCATTATAAAGGAGAAAGAAGGTTTGAAAATCATGTATTGACTATTGACGGCACATGAGAAGCAGGTGATTCAAGAAATAGAAAGATATCTTAGGAATCTTATAAGATCTGTTCGTTCTTCCCCTCCCCCCAAAATAAATGGTCAAAATTCATCGGGATCTAAAACTAGTTGAGAGGTCTAATACATATTAAAATTTGTTAAAAAAAATAACAAGATGTTTCTTTTTTCCCATCGAAGTGATCAACAAATGAAGAAATGGTTAATATATTTAAAACAAGAGCAAATTGCGCGAAATGTCACTAAACTATTGCGAGGTGCCGGTTCTGATAACTAAACTTTTTTATTAGCCAAAAATGTCACTGAACTAGTAAATCTGTACTGTTTTAGTCATTCCGTGTATTTATGCCGTTAGGAGAGACGGAAAGTCACTTTTTGAGGGGCAATTTCGTCTACACAACTGTTAAAAAATTTATACTCTTGTTCTTTTTCACCCACAACCACCCATCACCTACATTGCCACCTATAAGTGCATAGTTTACGTGTTTTTAGTGTGTTTTATTAGTTAGTTTTGGTGTGTTTTAATTAGTTTTATAGCTAATTAACTAAGATTCTAGTGAAAATATGCATTTAGGGGTTTAAGTGTTAAAAATTGCATTTCTATGGATTTTTATGGTAAAAACTTCATGTTTTTGTAGGTTTAATGATTCAATCATCAAATGACATAAATTGAGAAGAGAATTGGATGATTGATGATGGTTTTAAATCATAAAAAGAGAATATGAAGTGCAAGAGATGAAATGCAATCAAGTTCTAAAGAAAAGGAGTTTCACAGCTTTGACACCTTGTGGTATTTTGGCAATATCTTGAGCGACAATAATCGGATTGAGGTGATTCTTATACCATTTTGAAGCCAAGAAATAGATCTACATTTGGTATGAAGACATTGAAGTCCAGTTCGGTGGTTTTCATAGTCAAAAGGTCGAAAAAGTGACTTTTCGTCTCTCCTAACAGCATAAATACACGGAATTGCCCCTCAAAAAGTTCGGTGGTTTTCATGTGCGGACGAAATTGCCGCTCAAAAAGTGACTTTCCGTCTCTCCTAATGGCATAAATACACGGAATGACTAAAACGGTACAGATTAATTATTGGTTCAGTGACATTTTTGGCTAATAAAAAATTTTAGTGATCAGAATCGGCGCCTCGCAATAATTTAGTGACATTTCGCGCAATTTGCTCTTAAAACAATAACGTATTTGCAAACCTGCCACTTAATTTTGGTCTTGGGACAATTACTTCCGAAGTTTGAATTTCCTGGTTCTATTTTTTCTTCACACAAACTGGATTGATATAGAAAAACCACCACTTCTTAGAAGTTCCAAGATCCCAATTCCCAAGCATAGCCCGTAAAGAACAAGTTTAATTAAATTTGGAACAGTTTAGTCCGTGCGGCCTTATTTCCAAACCCTCTCGCTGTCACAACTGGAGTTTGTGCTTTGTACTCAATCCAAGAAAAAAATTACTCCCTTAAATGCGTCGTCTCAAGAAAAAGATTAAGCTAATTAATAGATCCTTGTATAGCCTACTACTTTAAACTTTGAATGCTTTTTGATTGGATCGGCCATGGTGGTGCTTCACAAAATGTACTTCTAATGGCTGCTATTTTCAAGATTTGAATATTAAATCTAACAGAGAAAAAACCTGATCACAGGTCGATTTCAGTGATTAGTCAATGATCTTTTTAGGCAAAGCAATCAACAAAACAATTTTTATTTTTTTACCCTGCAATTAGTTTAATAGTAAAGCTTTTATTTTTTGAAAAAAAGTTTAAAAAATCAGGGCTATGTAAGCAGTAATGCTAGGGGGCACATGGATGTTAAAAGTTTGGTAGAATTTGGTCAAATCCCCTTTGGGATCGCGTCCTTTCGTAGCAAGTAGATTAAGCAGCTATTTTGGAGTAGAAAGCAAATTAAATTGTTGTTCAGTTCCCATCTCTCTGTACTAATATTTGAAGGCTGTAGCCCGTGGAATCTATATGGCTGATCATTTTTGACCTTAATTAGTTGGTCGAAAAGTGAATGCCCAGTACCTGTGTCCTGAAAGGCTGAAAGACTAGTGGAGTGGCTAAGATGTTACTTTTTGACCCTGCAAAGCTAGTAAACAATTTGGCGCATGAAAAACACTACTGCGTTTTCGACAACAAAATCGTCCCGTGGGATGCAAAGCA